TCTCTCTCATCTCTCTCATCTCTCTCATCTCTCTCATCTCTCTCATCTCTTTCTCATCTCTCTCATCTCTTTCTCATCTCTCTCATCTCTCTCTCCTCTCTCTCTCCTCTCTGTCTCTCGTCTTTCCGTCTCTCTTCTCTCTCTTCTCTCGCAGGAGGATCCGGGCAAAGAGCCACATATAAAGGACTCTTCACCCCTGCCTCCAAAAAGAGCGCCGTGTTTTTTTCCTACCTCGCTGCCCTCCACTTTCCCATTCTGGAGCGCTAGCTTTCGCCCCCCCCCCCCTTGGCCTCAAGTTGTGCAACACAGACAAGACCTCTTCCATGCGATATGGTGAGTTTTTGGGAGATGGTGCACCGTGCACCATGATGTTTGTGCCACCAGTGCCGCAACCCCGAGATCTTTCAGTATTTGAGCCAATGGATTGGGGCTTTAAGAGGTTTCAACATGTACTTTCATGGTGAAAACGCCGAGCTGGAGTTGTAAAGTTAGAGCTCTCGCATGGTGCGAGTTCCCAGCACTTCTGACCACTGGATCTGATGAACAAGCCGCACCACAAACCGCAGAATGGACCTTTTGGAGGTGACCCTGGTGGCCCATCTAGGAGGGGCTACCAGCTAAGTGACTTCAAACGCATCCCTACCAGTTTTAAGGACCAAGTTTTTCACCTGGTCCTTGACCTCATTGAGTGCTGTTGTTTGCATGACACGCTTTAAAATGAGGTCTGTAAGACCTGTAATTCTTGGGTCCCAACCGCTGCGGGGGAACCCCCAGCGATCCGCTTCATGCCCGTTCCGTTGCGTTCACTTCACCACTCGCAGAGCTGGGAGGTCACTTGACAGCTCCCAGCGCTCCCAGCTGGGTGACAGATATGACATATCGATGATGGGTGATTGGTCCCGATCGCGGAAACGACGTGGAAGGGATGTCGGCAGCGTCGATGGAAGGGAGGCGTCAAGGGCCCATGGCACAGCTCCGCAGGTTCACCCTATGGTGGAAAGAGCTGGACGGGCTCGACAGGACGCAGCTGGCACAATGGGGCTGCCTGGAGAGGAGAGGGAAGGAAAGGAAAAGGATGCTTGGTTTTGCAGGGTGAAACGGTTTATTTTACATGACTAAATCCATGTACATCCCAATGTTCTTAATTGTTGCCTGAATCCTGGGCAAATCCATGCAAATCATATCCAAGGATATGAAGGAAGAGGAGAGAAAGGAGAATCGAAGGGTGAGCAAGGTGGGCGAGCCAGCCGCCTTTGGAGGGAGAAACAACAAACTCACAGGTCTCAGAGGTGCATGTGGCGTAGTTCCAAGTCTAACATAGTAATGCTGTTGTTCCTCCCCATGTGTCCTCCCCATGACACACAAACATATTGGTTTATATACAGACACATGTAGTATGTTAGATCATGTACAGATCATGTGGGCCTGGTTGCTCAAAGATGTGAAAGGCTTTTTCAATGGAGCCACTTCCATTGGAAAATTGTGTGGAGTCGTTGGATCAACATCTTCAAGATGAAACAAAGAATGAGGAGGAGGAGGAGGAGGAGGAGGAGGAGGAGGAGCACACTGAAGTTGCCTCAGTGGAGTACGATGGAAACAAGCAGAAGACAGGTAACATGTAGAATCTTACTAGAGTGCAGGGAATTTGCAACACTTCTCCCTGAACGATAAGTATGAGGAGTTAGTATATATACATGTATGTATATATGCACATGATGTTTACATGGATTTATCCCAGTTCTTTGTGGACTGCCCCAGGTGAGACGAAAGGCGACACGAAGGGCAGCAGTTTCTACCCTGAGCCCAAAGGTGAATCCAAGGGTCACAGTTTCTACGACAACAAAAGTGACTCAAAAGGCAGGAGCTTCTACGGCTGGGGTGGCGAGGTTGGCCGAGAAGGGACGCCTGGCGTTTCTGGCGCCGCCGTTCGGGAGCGGGCGACGGTGACCGACGGTGTTCACCGCAATCCGTTCGTTTTGGCGCCGTTTGGGAGGGGATTGCTTGCTCATTGATACCTAGTGGCTCTTTCGGTGCCTCGAAAGCGAGGAAAAGAACCGGAACCCTAAAGTCAGTGTATAGGAGCCCCTGCACGATGAGTCATTGATCAATGCGGCATACCAGGATGAGTATCTTGGTTTGGTCGACAGTTTAAGTTAGTTCGGCAAGTAGACAACGAGATGATACTAGATGTATATTACCAGGCTACCGCCTGCAGCCGCCGACCCCCAAGGGATAGAACCTTAGCGCTAGCCTTGCTCTATGTTAGCCTTAGCCTTAGCCTTAGCCTTAAGAGTGCAGACCCAACCCAGCACCACCAAAGCAGGTACCCAAAAAGTCGACTTTTTGGGTACCTCCCAGATTTACCATCGGATTCTTGCATGAACCCCGATCATTGCCCAAGAATTTAGACCCAACCCTTCACCACCAAAGCAGGTACCCAAAAAGTCGACTTTTTGGGTACCTCCCAGGTTTACCTATTTAGACCCAACCCAGCACCACCAAAGCAGGTACCCAAAAAGACAAAGCCTAGAGCATTCCTAGGAAAATGCCAGAAAAGCCTTTGAAAATCTCATAAGCCAACAGAAAACGTGACAAAATCTACGAAAAAGCAAGGGCATTGGCCGGGACCATGCCGCGACCAGCCCGGGATTCGAGCCCAGGACCATTTTGGACCGTGCTTATTTTCCCGCGCGGGTCGAGAGGGTGCCCCAAGATGTAAATCAATTGGGATGGCAGATTCTTGGACAATCCAGGTCGCTTTCCCGGCAGGATTTCGTCACTGCAACAAGGGTCCGGAGGGGTAGGGGAGGTAAGGTCTAGGTCTAGGTCTAAGGCTAAGGACTAGGTCTAAGGCTAAGGACTAAGGCTAAGGCCAAGGCTAAGGCTTAAGGCTAAGGCTAACATCGACAGTCACGCCTCACCCCACGGTGTGGGGTCGGCGGATTTATTGTTATGCATGACAAGTAGTTGTATGTCTAGTTTGCAGAACATGTTAATTGAAGGGAGTAGATGTCTAGTTTATTTTTGCCTTTTTGGTGTTCTCTCTGAAAAGCCTAAGTGTTCGTGGAGCCCACCCAAGTACTACAAAATAGTAAGGACTTGGTTGAGTCATAACCTTTCTGGGTCCCTCCCCACTGTGTGTTTGCACTTTTCCGCAACAGCTGCTTCAGGAAAGGGGCCGCACAGACTACGCATGCCCGCGCAAGCGGAACACAGGGTGGAGGAAATCATGAGCGCGCAGAAGGCAAAGGATTGTGGCAGTAGACCCGAGCGGCTCTCTGCAACGGACCAAGCATGCTGCAAAAGGCTCACGCCGCGTTGCGGGTCTAACAATTTTCGTTGGCCATCATCTCCGCTGGGAGGCGACGATGGTCTGTTTCAGGCGGCCTCTGGAGGACACTCTAGCACTGACCATCCTCTCAATATCCAGTGGCACCGTGCGTCCGTTTGGGGTTTGTCTCCAACGTAACCAGGATGACCAGCAGAAAGGGGAACCAGCAAAGGTGCCAATTCTTTTTTGCTGTGAACACCAAGGTGGCAAAATAATCAAATAATTCAGACTATTCTAGTGGATCCAGGAATCTTGCTATACTATACAAACCATAGACCTAGCGACCTAGCAGCACTGGATCTCGTGTTCATCGGAGCCTGGATGGCGTCCGATCGAATGGCCTTGATGGCGTCCGGGACGGGTGTGGTTGCTACCCTCAGTCTCCCACCCACAGGCTCCGTTTCTGGAGCCGGCGAGATATAGATTGCCAAATACTGCCCGGAGTTCTGGACGAAACACTGAAAGTGACTCGACCCAATACTTGACCCCTTCTATCAGGAAATCTCAATTGCACCTGGAAAACATCCGTTGACCTTAAAGCAATCTCTTTCTAAGAGTCTCAATAGCACATCTGCAGGATCTGAGATCCATGTCTCCCGTCTCCTGAGGCACCATGCGCTTGCCCAATTTCCTTCAGCAGGCCTTCCCGCCTTCGCATCCAGCGCTGTCCCAGCCAAGAGTCCCATCCGACCGTTGATGCTCCCAAGACCAGTCTACCCATGATTGGGGGTCGCCCGGAACCCCCCCCCCACATGAAGAGCTTCGACCATTCTTGTGGCGGGGGTCGTCATGAGCGCGTGAGGCAGAAGAGGTTCGACAATCCAAATGGAGGTGTGAATTGATGAGTCAACAGTCTACAGTGACTTAGTGACTTCATTCGCGTGTCATTGCTGAGCATCGTGGGCCTTTTCGTGCCTTCTTCGAGGGCCTGGCGCAGCCCCGGAGCTCGGACGCCATCAACCATATGGGGGGGGAGCCGGTAAGGCTCATGGTCCCAAAACCCACTGGTGGCTGGCCTGGGGAGGCTAGGACTAAATCTTGTGCGCGGGTCGAAGATGTTTCTGGAGCCACAGTTATTTCAGGAATCTGCCAACATACAGGCGAGACCACATGTTCAGAAGGCTCCCTGGTCTTTGCGAAAGCTACAACAAAAAGGGACAGCTCAGGGTGAAACCCTCAAACACGTTTGCTTCAATCTCACAAACCCCATCGGGCTAAAAGTTGAGCATGGTATTGTTGATCCATCAAAACGGGACCCCCAAAGAGCAGCCAATTGGCTAAGCTATGATAATTCTTAAGCTATGTATATCAACTATTATAAACTATTCGATGGATCCTCTACCTCGTCCACATGGTCAGGAATGTACTTCCCGCACCGCAGGCAAAGGCCAGCATTTTCCGGTCGGATGGGCGCTGGTGCTGGGCGAGTTGGTGAATTCGGGCAGTTTTGGTGTTTCCAATTTGTCCAAAGGTTGCCTTGTAAGGGAATAAGTAATAAATATAGTAATATTAGTATAGTGTACATATATAAAACCAGAAATCTTGGGGTCTTGCTTTTCGTGTCCCGGAGCAGGCATATACACTCCCTGAAATAATCATTGAAGTGGAAAACCACCTGTTGTAGAGGAGCGCGGTCATCCAGGCGGCCATTTTCCACTTCCGCAATTATTTCAGTGAATATAGGACAATGTTGCTACATACAAGATCATACAAGTACTAGATAATACTATTATATATCGTGTATAGGGCGATAAATGATGCATGAGCACGCAGAACCCCATTTGCATGATAAAAAAAGATCTTTGTGACCAAAAGCATCAGATGTTGCATGCTGCCAGCAGAGTCCCATTGTGATCTCTGAAAGTGTGGCAAAGACGATCTCAGATGTACCTGCACCCTCCGAAGTACCTTGAAATATGGGACATGACTATATTTAAGAACAAGTACTAGGTACTTGAATACATTGACAGGAGCTGGAAAGCTCGTGCGTGATGAATCCAGTCATTCTAGAGAGCTTGATCTCGTGATGTATATCCACTGCCTGGAGTCTCCTGCTTGCGTTGCCAGAAAATCCTCATATAATGATTAAAATACAAATGCACAAACTGCGACTCCGAGTTCATGCAGAGCCTATGAGGCTCCAGGTCCGATCCTGTTACATCTTTGACAGGGATTGACTTGTTCGAGGTAAGCCTTGCTTACCGAGTTTGCTATATTAAGCTGGAGGCCATCGCTATTAAAGTTGGAGGCCACCGCTAGTAGGTTGGAGGCCATCGCTAGTAGGTTGGAGGCCATCGCTAGTAGGTGGGAGGCCATCGCTATTAGGTTGGAGTTGGAGGCCATCGCTACTAGGTTGGAGGCCATTGCTATTAGGTAGGAGGCTTTGACTCTTTTGAGGTAAGCCTACCAAGTACTTCAAGCAAAGTCCACTAGCACTTCCACTAGCTTTGTTGGCCTCCAAGGATTTTGCGAGTTCCCCTTAAGGTGAATAGGAGTCTCCATGGAATAAATCCACGTTCAAGGCTCCCAAATTTTGCGGGAGTGTTCAATGGTGATCTTCATCAGACTGATCAGACTGGATTTACTGATCAGACCTGCAGAATGATGTTCGTTGGGTTCTTGAGCAACATGGGAAATTCAGGGTGAACCAGCAATCTCATAGATCATTGAAATCGCTTAGCCCCCGCACCCTAGCATCAACCCTGCTCGTCAGCTTCAGCGGAAAGACGGTGGGTCGGAGGTGTCAGTGTCCGCCTGCTTCGACTGTCCAGCATCGATGGCCTTTGAATATCTAATACCTTTTACATCCTTTGACTATTGGTTGGTTGATTCAGGGCAGGAGATGGAAGGGAAATGCCCCCCCAAATAAAAAGAACATACCTTGGTATATGGACCTATATAGTATACGGTACCAATCATTACCAATCCAATTGACTCCTCTATTCTTCCCAAAAGGACGTCTCCAGGCGTTTTTTGACCTGTTCGGCCGGCTGTTGTGGAGAGCGTCTCAAAGCCACAGGCGCCCGGAAGCCACAGGTGTGGCGGGTGGGACAATCCATGACACAGAGGTGTGTTTGGAGAGCTGAGCTTCGGGAAATCCCGGTAAAAAGAGTGGGCAGTTGTTGGAGCCCCCCAAAATGAGACAATAACTGATTGTTGTTGTTGTTTTTTTCTTTCAGAGCTCAAAGCTTGGGAGGCGATTGAGCTTTCATTCTTTGCCGGGTGTAGGTTGGGCTCCCACCATTCAAAAATGGCTGCCCCTTGACTACATTTTACTGTATACGAATTGAGCAACACTAGAAGCTTTTGAGGCAATGCTGGAGTTCGTACTGAAGGAGGTCAGGATTTTTCGAGCAAACGTTGGTGGCTGAGGTGGGCTGGCATCTTCCAGCTAAAGGTCGCTATAACGAACTGTTTTGTATTATTATATAATCCTTTTTTGATTTTGGTTGAAGAGAACATCCTGCCGAAACCAGGAGGCGAGAATCCAAAGACGCAAAAGTCAAAGGAGACACTCAGCACCAGATGCCTCTAGATAGAGCATCCAAAGCCTGGTTTGAATCATGTTCTTGCATAAAGTCGCCAGACTTTCCCCTCAAATCTTTCAATCACATCGGCCGAAAAAAGGCCGGCCTTTCAAAAATAAACCCCGCTTGTCCAGCACTTACTGTGAAGGTCTTGGTCTTGGTCTTAGACCGTCTAAGACCTTGATCTTCTCCGGAGAAAAACAAGTACCATCTTTCCCGCCCCAAACGGCGTCGGAACCTGCGGACCCTTAGCTCGGGTCTGCCCCACGCCAGTCCGAGCTGAATGCGGCCCTGCGGAACCGCGGCGGTGCCCAGGTGTGAACGGTGATCGGTGGTTTGAGAGGCTTCCCATCAGGTTATTGCCTGGAACCCCAGTCCCAACCCGAAACTTCATGGACCTTCCGGAAACTCAATTCTTTTACATGAGCAAGTGATTGTTTGGGAAACATCCAGTGATTTCCAGTTGGGACTGGGTTTCCAGGTGGACCATTTGAGGCCGTCCCCGAAAAACGCGCGCGAAGCTTCGACCTCCACAACTCTTCGGTCACACAAGCTCGCCCTGGATGCTGCCCCGTACATGAGAGCACGTGTCACAACTGGGCGGTACAACCTCGGAGCGGCCTATTATATGTGGATGAAATGGATGGTTTTGGAATGTTTTGGGTCACTACATCCTTGGGTCCAACTTGGAGACCGGTATAGCCTAGCAGTCGCGGTCCTATTGGTGTCGACAGGTAAAACGTGATTTTGTATGATTTTGTATGACAGGTATAACGTGATCATCCACACGACTTTGCCCGTGGGATTGCACGTGCCAGGCGCAACTTCGAGCACCGCGCAAGGCACAGTCCAGAGGCGAGATTTGGGTTAAAGGTTGAGGGGAAAGGCCGAACCAGGACTTGATGATGCTTTATTCCTGTCAACAAAATCCATTACAAGAGCTGTGTCTGTCTTTTTCTGTCCTTGAGAGCATTCCCTTCGAAAGAACATCTAACTACGTATCACACATGCGAAAACACGTTCGGAGACCGATCAAACAGCTGCAGCTTGGAGATACTTTCAAGAAATGGACAGTGTCATGCAGTGTTCCTGGAACTCCTGGACCAAAAATACATCAGAATACTGCCACCAGGAGGAAAACATCATTAAAACCTTACCGGACCTCACCCTTAAAGCAACAAACACTTTTTTGGGGCCCAAAGAAGTGGAGAAATTGGACACCATATCCAATGGATGGGGTGACCACCTAGAATACTTTATAGTAGATTCCACCCGGGATCCATTAAGGCACCGCCCGTAAAGCCATGATATGCGTCGCTTGGCTTCACTTGGATCCAAGAGTTTTTGGTATAGGGAATCCAAGGTCCTTTTGTGAGGCTTGGCTGGGTTGTTCACTCGACACCTTG